GAAAATATAAAGAAAATACATGATTCAAACTTGAATATGAATATTTCTATACCTGTATTATAATTTAATCTTATTAACAGTGAAAACTTTAATATTTTGAATCATAGTACTTCACAGCTTTAAGCTATGGATGTGTTATAACATATAAAAATATATGACAGTAATGAATGCATTTGAAGATAATTCAAGTTTTCCCTAATGCAGTTGGGCAGAGGTTTTACTCTGGTCAAATAAAAAATAAAATCTCATCAATTGAAGGATGGTGAGGTCAGAGGATTTAATTTTTATGGTGTATCAAATTTTTATATGTCAATGGCAACTTTAATATCAGTGATGAATAATAAAATGTAATAGTATCAGCCTCAAGATAGTTTCATATTGTACTTTATTAGCTACCTGTTGAAAAATTACTATTATTTAGCTATACAAAAGAAAAATGTTGAGTTATAGTAAACGGAAACTCTTAAAAACATGGAATGTAGTTTAATTTCAGTATGAAATATTTCAATAAATCAGCCCAAATATTCCTATAACAACATTGATTCTTCTAGGTCAGAGAAGAGGAAATAGAGGAGTTAGATGCCTTATTAAGCAATTTCTGTGAACTCTCAGCTCCTGGAGGTGTAGAGAATAGTTATGGGAAAATAAACATCTTACTTCAAACTTACATCAGCCGAGGAGAGATGGACAGTTTCTCCCTTATATCAGATTCTGCATATGTTGCTCAGGTAAGACTCTTACTCCCTTCCCAGTTTCTCATCCGTATTTATTTAGAGACTAAGGAATTGATTTATGCTATACTGCGAGTATATTGGTTTGTGACATGCTACCAAGCTACCATTTTATCTTAGAACTTGTTCTATTAATTTATCTTTTATGTAATCTGTACTTGTAAATCTGGACTGGGGGTGAGATTTGGTGGTTGGTTTGGCTTTTTTTGATGTTGCTAATGTTTACATTATAGAGTTTTAAAATATCAATATTAATTTTTTTCTACTTTAAATGGTAAAGTTTATTTCTTTTACTTACAAGAGGCAATGATACGTGAATATTTCAAGTATAAAGAAAAGATTGTGGAACCTTTGTTGTTTTCACCAAATATTAGAAATAATAACAAATTTTTTACCATTAAATAAAGCTTAATAAATATTCTCATACCATATGTTCAATGTGATGAGTCTCTCATTTAAAAAAAAAAAAAGTATCTTTACTCTCTACTGTTGATACTTAAAAATTAAGGATGGAAAGAAAATTATTCCCTAAACTACAGCTCATTTAGTTTATGTCTTTTAAAAAATACCATGTTTATGAAATGTTCAGATGTTTATCTTTTTGTATTCAAGCCCTCAGGTGGAGTAAAGCATGTTATTTTTGCCCTATTTACTTTTCAAATGAAAAGTTTCCCTTCCAGACATACTTT